CGTCTCGGGCTCCGCCGTCAAGTCAAAGGTGAAGGTCTCCGACTCCGGCCAACCACTTGTCGTATCGGGCTCGCTTGGGAGAGGTGGTCCGCCGGTCTGCTGCTGTAGTCGTCGCTGCCGTCGCTGTCGTCTCGAGAAAGGTCTCGTCGGTCCTTCTATTCTTTTTTCGAGGGGGAGCAGCAGCGGGCCAGCAGTCCTCGGCATGAACATCCAGATGCCATCCTCAATGAGTAAAACTCGGTTCCTTCGCAAGCCCGGCCGAGGTAAGTGCCATAAAGGTTCCTCGTCCACCGGTCGCTGTCACACCAAAGGCATCTCCAATACCAGCATCCTCGCACGGCTCTAGGGGTGGCCTCATCGGCCGGGTCGCCGGCATCGGACGATCTTCGGCATCACGGTCCAGGGCATCGCGTAGTGGAAGTCCACCCGAAAGAGCGGGCTCCGGGCGCCAACTTAGCAAGCAAAGCTCTCAGCAGCAGGGCGGTCATTTCTGCAGAGCCATCGCACAAAGAAGTACGGCGCAGAGAGGGCCCACTAAAGGCGGGAGGAAAAGGGCAACGGCGGATGCGTCTCCTAAGCCAAGCCCTTGGGCATGATATGCGAAAACGTCACAGTCTGAGACTCTATCAAAAACCTTGCCATTTCTCTTCAGGGTTCTCCTTCATGGCCTTGTACTGCTTGATGCATCGCGAGTCGAAGATCTTGCGTCGAGCAATGTCCTGGGAAATCAGCTCCTGCTGCACTTGAAGATCCAACAACTGCGAGGGTCACATACCCCCAATGCGGGCCGAGGTGGACGATGCGATTAACCTTCGTAAGGCCAATCCGAGCCGAGCCACACGGTCTTCAGCCAAAAACACCCGCATCAAAGCCTCGACTGGTGCCAGTGCCACGCCACTAGCACTCAGCGTGTCCAAAGCAGCTGCATTCGGCTGCCCTGAAGGGGTGAGAGCCAGAGCCCGCAAGCAAAACAGCGAAACTGTTGCTAGCTCTTTGGAAGACTCACTGCCTTGCATGGATGAAGGAATTGACAGCGACACCGACACTTCCGGGGAATGCTCCGTCTCCTTGCGCGAAGGCTCTGGGGCTTTGGATCCATATCCGCTTGTGCTAAGCCGAAGAGGAGTCTGATGCTAAACTGGAATGAGACTGACATGATATTTTGATATGACAGAACGCTGCGCTCGCACCAAGACTTCATGTTGCTTGCAGTTGCGAGATGATGTCGGGCAACAGTTTAGCACTGCGACTGCTACTGCAAAGTTGTAAGCTACGGTTGATAATATAAATCCTGCATTACCCATAATAAGGACTTTACCATAATTCCCATAGTTTTGTGTCCCTAAGGTAATGCAGGATTGATATCATCAACCGTATGAGGTTGTAATCAAAATACGGCAGGAATCCAACAAGCTCCCCGAAACAAGAAGACGGAGGTTGCCAACCCAAGGCTTTGAGTGGCTCATGCCAGATTCAACGATTTCCTGCTGCAGTTAGTGGGCAGTTCTTTAAATTAGGGTCCCTTTTGGGGGTCCTTTTTATAAGGGTGCCGTACTATATTTGGGGACCTAAAAAGGGGCCCTAACTTAGAGAACTGCCCTAGTGTCTCAGAAACAACCGGGAATCTGATTTAGCTTGCGATTCAGCACCCGACATCTAGAGAAGGAAGAGCAGCTTTGGACCCTAAACCCTAAACCCTAAACCCTAAACCCTAAACCCAAAACCCTAAACCCTAAACACCGAGACGAGGATCTTGCGAAGGCCACACCCAGCCCACCTCTTTGAAAGACTCTCCTCGGAGACAAAGGCATTCCGGCTTTTAGGGTTTAGGGTTTAGGGTTTAGGGTTTAGGGTTTAGGGTTTAGGGTTTTCCGGCTTTGGCAGCTTGGGGCGCTATTCTAGGTTCCCCAGTAGGCCCCTAACAATAAGGGCACCCTTTTTCGTACTCTTTGGGTTGAATAAGGGCCCCCAGAAACAAACGCGGCAAAAGGGTACTACTGGGGAACCTAAACCCTGAACCCCAAACCCTAAACCCTGAACCCTGAACCCTAAACCCTAAACCCTAGTATTGAGCCTTTAGGGTTCATGGGGCCCCTAGCTTGGCCTGTGGGGTAGCAGCACGACGAGCCTTCAGGATTCCTATCCTTTTGTAACGTTAGGGTTTAGGGTTTAGGG